CAGATCGACGAAGTACACTGCTGAGGGGAGCAGTGGGCGGGTCAGGAGAGGTCTGCCACGCCATGTGGAGCTCCACCAGGGCAGGTGGGAATCGAACTCATGCGGAAGTGGCTTAAGCTTCTTAGTGCAGTGCTTTAACCCGCTGCGCAACCAGGGAGGGCCTTGTTGGTGTTTTTATAGCCATGGAGAGAGAAAACACCCTGGACTAGGTCGCTGGTCTCAGTAACTACTTGATTCTCCAGCTGTAACATCATGTCAGTGGCCTCGGGAGGCTCTTCAGGTGTATCAGTTTCTGAAAAATTAAACAGTGCTTCTCCTTCCCCCAGGGAATGAAGAGGGAGTTGTCATAGTTCAAGTTTAAAGACAGGATGGGTTGACCTCCCTGGCCACAAAGTATCCCTCCATTCACTAATACCAGTGCAGGGAGGAGCGGAGGGTGAAACCAGGATGAGGGAGAGGTTGCTGGCCCTTCTGGCCTTCCGGAGTACACACCGCTGGAGCTGGGCACTGGGGAAGGAGCTGGGGGGTGGGGGGGTGCCTTCCTTCTCTGGGGCCCTGCTGGGACGCATTCTGGGGGGCCTGAAGTGAAACTGGTCCCCAGAATTGAGTGCTATCTCTAACACTTCAGTCTTCCGTGGAAAAGAGGAATTACAGTTTCAATTTAGCAAATACTTGTTAGTCAGCTACCCCGTTCTAGATAGAGTTTGGGGAGGGGGGCGTGTACTGTCAATATAATTCAGTCTCGGGAGATTCCCTTTGTAGAAAGGAAGCTAACTCTGCATATAGTTAGAGAAAGCGAGGTAAAGTGTGTGACATCCGAGAGCAGGGCTGTGAGTAGGGGACGCGGGGAATTTGGGCAAGGCAAGGGAGTGTGGTGCAGAAGGAACGTCCGGAGGGGGATTACTTGCGGGTTCAGGCCCGCGTGTCCCAGTCGTTCCCGAACAAACAGGCGGGTGAGGGCTGCTTATGTAATCGGCGGCGCCTCGCGGGCGACCGGGGGAACTGGAAGGGGGAGCCGGGCCAGGGCTGACTGCGAGCTCTTGGAATCCGCGCTCGGGCGTTGGCCCAGCCTCGCGGGACACCGGGCCCGCCCTCCCGCTGCGGAGCTCGCGCGGTCGCGGGGCGACTCCCCACGCCACCTGGAACCCCGCGGTCTCTCCACGGGAGCCCACCCTTCCACCTGCTCCACCCGCTGCCGCCAGGTGGGAGGCAAAGTTAGAGAGGACGAACCGAACCGGGAGCAGGTCCTAGGTGTGGCTCTCCGCAGGCCGTCCTCTCATCCCGTTGACTCTGGGTTGCCAAATCCATCACGCCTTTAATTTTGGGGGTGGGGGGCACCCTGGAAACAGGGGCCCTCCTCAGATGGCAACATTAAACATGATGGAGATTTTTCTTGCAGGTGGTGTAGTGGTGAGGGTGCATCTGGTCGTGAGATTAATTTTGGTTTCTGAGTATAAGGAAAAAGAAAAGGCAAACAGAATTGTCTTGAAAAGGAAGCTACAGCCACTCCCACTCCAGGCATCTTTGGTGAGAATCAAGGTCTTTTCAGCACTTTGGAAACACTGTCTGGGTTCTGAATCAGATTAATTCCCAAATAATGGCTTTGGGAGATGTCATCTTAATTTTTAAAAAGTGTCGACTTTGTTTATTATGGGCATTTCTAAGCATGCATAGAGAAAATAATGTAGTATAATCTTGTGTACCTATCATTCCCTTTAACAGTGATCAATTTTGTTTTAGCAATTACATCCCATTACCCCACCACACACACACACTCCCTTTTCCCACTGCTTTATTGTTTTTTTGTTTGTTTGTTTTAAAGGAATTTCCAGACATCATCATATTTAATTGGTATAAGCTTTAGGATACAAAACCCTCCATTTTAAAAAGTACATCCACTGATCACATTTTAAAAATGCACGGTTCTTTAAATATAGTGTCCAAATGTCTCCTACTTTAACATTGAAAAACAATTTATTTGTTCAAATCAGAATGCAAACAAATCCACTATTGCTTTTAGTTGACATGCTCTTTAAGTCTCTATTAATCTACAGCTTCTTTTCCTTCCTTCTTTCCCTGGCAATTTATTTGATAAAGTAAATGTGTCCTTTGTCCTGAGAATTTCCCCAAAGTTGGATTTGCTGACTGCATTTCTGTGGCATTGTTAAAATGATTCTGGTTGATCCAGAACTTTGATGAGCTTCAGGTTCACTATTTTTGGCAAGTTTACATCAAGTAGTTGCTTCCTGTTGTGTTACACTGGAAGGCAGATAATGTCGGATTGTCTCTTTTTGTTAGCATTGATCACTGGATTCTGGTGTTGTCAGTCTGATTCATTGTTGTATAGTGAATCCCTGACAGCTTTTTATGTGACGTTTCTAGCTGCTGTTGATGAGTATTGCTTAGATTCATTATTTCATTAGGTGCTATAAAAGAGTGATTTTTTTCACCCTTTATTTATTAGCTGGAGTTTGTAATAGAGAACTATCCCTAAACCATTTGATAATCCTAAATATTTTTGTACAAGAATGGTAGCATAAATACTGAGTATTTACTAGAGTTCAGAAATTTGAGTGGGTTCCTAGCATCATCCAGAAGTGACTAATAGTTTACTTTTTTTTTATAGTTTACTTTTTAGTTATCATAATGAACTGATGGAATTTTAAAAAATGTATTTGATGTTTTTCATTCAATTGCAGTTATTATCCTTATTGAAACTAAGTGTTTCACCTTTGATCCTTCAAGTTGGCTCCTGAGTAATTTTTGACATAACCCCAGTAAACTTTCATACATTTTGGTGTGACAAGATGTTCCAGAATATATTTTCTCCCAGATCTAGACTTATCCAGTAGTTCTCCAAGGAACCATTTTATTTTCACTGGAAAAGAGTATTTAGAGAGTAGGCCAATATTGTTAGGTCATCTTGTGAACAGAGCTAAACATTTGATTTTGCTCTTTTTAAGAGGAAATGCATCTGGATTTATACTGATTTGCCAATTCAAATTTTGGATTTGGTTACTAGTAAGGAACACTATATGCTTTCATTTCTCGTCTTTTTATGTCATCTTCACAAGAGAAAACCTAATCTTTTCTTTTAGATTGAAAATCAGTTCCTAGTAAAATGAATATAATCACATATTTGCTTTATCCTACTATATGTGTGTGTCTGTATATATGCATATATAGTATATGCAGAATAATAATATTACTAGATGACAGTTGAAAATTTTCACTTTTATTTACAGTTCTCTTTTGTTATAAGAAAGTCAGAGTAGGGCCCTCCCTGGTGGCTTTATGAGTTAAAGCACAGCACTATGAAGCTACCTCAGCCACTGTAGCATGAGTTCCATCCCTAGCCAGGGAGGTGACATGGCGCAGCAGACCTCTCCTGTCTTACCTGCTGTTCCCCTCAGCAGTGTACTTTGTCAGTCTGCCTGTTCTGCTCCCCACTCTGTCTCTGGTGAATCCTCTCACCCTCCTCACCTCCTGCCTGTATCCCAGTATGCATAAATAAGTAAATCTTAAAAAAAAAAAAAAAAGAAAGAAAGAAAGTCAAGGCCCTCCCTGGTGGCGCTGCAGGTTAAAGCACAGCACAAAAGCTTAGAACACTTCTGCATGAGTTCGATCCCCACCTGCCCCGGAGGTGACCACATGGCGTGGCAGACCTCTCCTGACCCGCCCGCTGCTCCCCTCAGCAGTGTACTTCGTCGATCTGCCTGTTCTGCTCCCCACTCTGTCTCTGGTGAATCCTCTTACCCTCCGCATCTCTGGCCTGTACCCCAGTTCTGTATGAATAAATAAAATTAAAAAAAAAAAAGAAAGTCAAAATACTGTAGTTGTTTAAAGTGATGTTTTAATTTTGTTTCAGAATGATGTAAAACATTTACATGGTTTCAAATGTACAAAACAAGGCATACACAGAAGACTAATTTCCACCCCTTTCACTCAGTTTGCTTCCCTTCCCCAATAGGTGACTGTTTTGATAAGTCTTGATTTATCCTTTTCTTAAAGAAATAAATATAAACAAACAAATGTATATATTTACATTCCTCTTTTCTTCCGTAAAACGTGGCATACTATGTGCAAGCTCCCCCACCTGCCTTTTTCTTTTAATTTTCCAGAGGTCACCTTATAATAATACATAATCTGTACTTATTTGCAAAATGAATAGAAGACGAGAGGCAGCTTTGACCTAGTCCTTTGTAGAGACAATGTCCAGGGTCATATTTTTCAAGTCCCCAGGAAGGTAGAGGTACAAAAGGCCAAGGTGGTGTTCAGGGTCTCAGGGGCTTCAGAAAATGAGATGAAGAAGAAAGGGCTTTCTGGAACCTGCTGTCCAGTTCCTGTATGGACATCTCAACTCACATGCAGGGGGTTGCTTCACATTTGAGTGCTTTCCAGTCTTGTCGTGTTACAAACAGTGCTGAGTGGAAGAGATTATGCTAAGCCCAGTAAGTCAGAAGGAAAGAGAAAAATATGGGATGGTCTAACTTATAGGGAAACCTAACAAAAAGTCAGGAAAAAGGATAAAATTTGCAAGCTGACCCTAGATCTGAGGCTTACCGCAGGGGAGACTTGATGGGGGTCAGATAAGGAAAGGAAGAGCCCAAGGGACTGTGGTGATCACAGTCACCATGCCATGGTGGGGCTACCCTTAAGGGGAGAAATCAAATATTGCACAAAACTACACAGTGATGTAAAAAAATTAAAAAAAAAAAACAACCAACAAACAGTGCTTCAATGAATAGCCTTGTGTGGAATCTTTTCGTGTTTTTGAGTCCTCTCTTCTACATAGGCATCTTGAGGGAAGGAAGACTGAGAGAAAGAAGGAAATCTGAAAGCTGGGACAGAGACAGTAGGCCCGTGCTAGAAACCACAAAGTGTAACCTTGCCATAGGATTCTCCATTCCTGGAAACCTAGCTGCAACCCTACCACCAGCAGTGCACCCCAAAGCTAGGAATTAACGCGGAGGAAATGGACAGCAAGGCAAAGAACAACTTTAGGGATTCAAGGTGACCCGGGTGCCAGCAAATAGAAGCCGGCAGAAGGGGAAGACGTGTCCCGGGAAGGAGGTGTGGAAGGTGTAGATGTGTTTGTTCGTAATGCCGTCGTAGAAGACGACCTCCCCGCACTCATAATCTACGCTGATGCCCACTTTCCTCGGACGGAGAGGGAGGTCCTCCCGGGTGTCAGCCCCGGTGATCGCCTGGCACTCGGAGCCTGTTATTCGGAGCACCCAAAAGCCGGTCAAGGGCTCCACCACCAGGAAGCCCCTCCGGGCTGCATGCTCGAGGGCCACGCCCACCATGCAGGCCCCGCCTCCCGGCCCCTGCAGCTCCGCCTCCCAGGTCCGGCGGCCGGTGGAGAGCCCGGGGTAGCCCAGCAAGCAGCGGAATGGATAGAAGCACGCAGGGTCCGTGGGCTCATTAGCGGTCTCCTGATGAATGAAATCCAGCGTCACTGTCTTCAGATCCGGTGAAATGATGAGGTCTGGGTGGGCTGTGGCTTTGTCAAAGGTTACCGGGACTGCGAGAAGATGAGGAGATAGAGGGGCTGCTTGGGCCAAGTCGCCCCCATCTCCACCTCTAAGCTCCCCGCTGCGTGCAGTCCTGGGGGTGGGGGGACGGCTTTCTCTTCCCGGTTAACTGTCCTCTTCGTCCCTAGGGTAGTCCCAAGCCCCCACTCCACTCCTTGAAGTTAATCCCTAAATGTCGCCTAGTGCTGCTCTACGGCTCCAGAGGGGTGCTCTCTGGGGGTGGAAGGGAGGGCAGAGAGGGGGTATCGTTTCAATACCCAAAGCTGAAGTTATCTCTTTCCTCTTCCGTTTCCCGTGGCTCCTGTTTTCCCATCTAAAACAAGACTTGGGGCTAGCAGAAAAAGATGTTGAGACTTTTCAAGGTGCAAGTTCTGAAAGACAGGGATAAGTGGAAGGTTGGAATTCGCAGGGAGGGATCCGTCACTCCCTCCCACCATTTTTGGGGTGGGGGTGCCAAGTTGTAGTTTATTCAAGGCTAGGCTAAGGGTCCCTGACCAGCCTCTCACATAGGCTTGAACAGCGGTAGTTCCAAGTTCCGCTAAAAATTCAGGAAAGAGCACCGAATTTTATCTTCTGATTTGTTACCCAATTTTACTCTCTTACTGCAATGTTAATTTTTCTCTTGCTGGAGATGGGGGGCGTAGAAAAGATGGAGAGGAAGGATATAGGAATGAGGGGGAACGAGAAGGTGATCAGGCTCGTGGGAACGGGTTGGGTGAATTGTGACCCTCGCTAGGATTTACTCATCTCTGGACCCCAAGCTGTGTCTGAAGTCTGGGGACGGAATGAAGAAAGGAGCCAGCGGTAGGGACTTCCTTTAGCCGCCAGGGGGCACCACAGCCAAAGCAATAAGGAGAAGTCCAGGGCAGGAGCGCGGGGCGTTCCGCTCCATCCTTTCCAGGTTTTGCCCAACACCGCATCCCTTCTCCCAGTCTTCATCAACACCCGCTCCCCCCTCTCAGTATCCCGGACCTCTCCCCAGGCTGCACTCACACAGCGCCTCCTTGAGCTCCGCAGTGTTGCACGTGTCGGGCGTCTCGACGTTGGTTGGGGTTAGGGTGGGAACTCTGATCCGGGGAGGGATCGGTGGCCGCTGGAGCGGCGGGGTGCTGACTGGAGCTGAGGGCTGGGGCAACCGTTCTGGTGCGCTAGTTGTTTCGCTGCCTTTGAGCGGGAAGAAAAGAAGCCAGTGAGCAAGGCAGCAATCATCCTCCCTTGTCTCAAAGTGCTGCTGAGTCCGTGTGTGACACAGCCGGAGGAAGGTTAGACCCCAGAAAGCTCGCCCCAACGATTTAGGGGTGTTATCCTGGGGAGTATAATTTGGAAATGAGTAAAGGAAATGGATGGCGGCCCCCCTGTGCCCACAGTCTACAGACCTGCCTCTCCCTCCCCCAACCCCTAGTCCTTTTAATTCCTCTTTCTGAATTCCTCTTTCTGTTGTGTCCCTGTTCCTGACTCTCAGACTGGAACCCAGGGAAGTCACTCAATCCCACCTCTGCTCTGATTTGTGCTAGGAAGTTTAGCCTTCTCCCTTCGGGCAGCCTCAGCTTAAGAGAGCAGCTTTTTGGGTTTGGTTTTGTTTGTTTTTGTTTACCTGTAGAACTCGAGGTTCCCTCGCCAGAACACAACACAGGAAGCCTCAAAGGTGGAGGATCAGGATCCTGAACTGTTGTCTTAGGCTCTGAGGTTGTGTTCGTTTTAGAATTATCCATCACTGACTGGCTGTCTAAGACTTAGAGAGAGAAAACCAATTTTGGTACTGATAACCAGAGGCTGCGAATTAAAAACAAAGCCATAACACTGAGCTACCAGTAAGAACCACAGACAAGGTGCCGAGGTGCAACCCTCCCCCCACCCACCCCCAAGTGTGGACAAGTTTCAGATTGTTTCAGTGATTGATAGAGAGGCCCTTTCTGGGACTCAAGAAGGGAGACACTCAACAGGGCACTAGCCAGGGAGCCCAGCAGGGACTCACCCACCGCAGACACCAAGAGCTCCACTTTGGGAGAAATGCTCAACCCTAAACCCCCACTCTCAGGCTTTGGGCAGCACCATGTCCTTTCTGACTCTGGTGACTTGAGTTCTAGTGCTGTCTCTTCTATTTAATAGTCACGTGATCCGCTCAACTTACTTCACTTCCCTGGAGATACAGGGACCTGTATCTCTGTAAAAACACCTTCCTTGGAGGATAATTTTGGGGGTTGGAAATATCAGGTGTGAGTATTTAGCACCTAGTGGGTCTTTAAGCAATGTTGCCTCTCAGGCTGCAGAGTCCTGTCTGGTAACTTTGGCTTAGGCTGCTGTTGGTGGTCTCCAACCCCAGAGGTGCTGACCTCACACCCACAGGTGTTTGCAGAGGGCTGCTAATACTACAGAGACTGCGCAGTCTCTGCTTCCTCCTACTCCTGTCCTTCCCCTTCCTCCCTTACTCTGAGGAATGAAGAAATACGTTTATACTTATCTATGACCTCTGAGTACTTTAAAATGTTGCCACAAGTCACTGTAACTGAGTTACCCAAGTTCAAATACTAAAAAAAATGTCCTTATGCCTGTTCTTCACAACTGCACGAAGACCAGGTGTTCATCCATATACAACTTTTATGTAACTGTAGATTGTCCCCCTTTGTTTTTCTCACTTTCCTAAATTAGGAACAAGCCTCAGTCCGCACTTACAATCCATTACTTCTTTGTTATTCAGGCCTTTGAAAAATTTGCTTTTATCTTTCTTCCCTTCAACCTGGAGATTGTCTGTGGGGAGAGAAAGGAATGAGATTGATATAGTCTGGAGTGGTTGAACAAGAAATTCAGAGTTTCATAGCCAGTCGCTGATTTGCAATAACACAGAAAAATGGGAACTGTATTTGTCTCATCATATTCTTAGTAAAACAAGAATGTATAAAACATTGAGAGATGTCCTTTCTGCTTCCCTGAAGTGATTATCTAACCAGCATTGTCCAGCAGAAATATAATCAGCTACAAATATCATTTAAAATTTTCTAGTAGTAGGTACCTCTCCAAAGAGTTCAAAAACATTAATTCAAAAGGAAACCTACATGCCTATGTTTACAGCAGCATTGTTTACTGCTGTAAAGTCAACATATGGAAACAACATAAATGCCCCAGAAGAGATAAGTATATAAAAAAAAAATGGTTCATACACATGGTGGAATATTACTCAGCAGTCAAAAAGATAGTCATGCCATTTGTGGCAACATGGATGGACCTAGAAAGGACTATGCTACATGAAATGAGCCAGGAAGAAAAAGATAAATACTGAATGGTTTCACTTACATGTGGAATCTAGAGAAACTAAACAAAGGATCAGACAAAGTTAACCTGTAAGACTGACCCTTGAAGGCAGAGGGTAGATCTGAGACAGGAGGGGAAAGATAGGTGGAAGATTAGAGATGGGGGGAGAGATGAACACCATGAATTGTGGTGGAGGACTGTGGGCACTTTGGTGGTGGGGAAACTATGGTAATCACACGTGAGGGGAGAAATCCTATATTGTGAAAAAATAAAGTAGGATGTTTAAAAAAAATGCAATAAAATAAAATTTTCTAGTTGTCACCTTAACAAAAGTAAAAAGTAACCATGAAATCAATATTAATTATGTATTGCTTTCCATTCATCATTAGAAAAATATCTGTGAGAGGAATGAGTAGCCTGGGGTTAACTAGATGGATGGACAGTAAGTAGAACTTTGGTGTTGGGAGTCACGTGGTCTCATACAGTGAAGAGGGTGAAGTTGTGCTCCTGTAAAACACTTTTACCTAAATAAAAACAGCATTTCGGCCCTCCCTGGTGGTGCAGCGGGTTAAAGCACAGCACTAAGAAGCTTAAGTCACTTCCGCAAGAGTTTGATCCCCGCCTGCCCTGGAGGAGATCCACATGGCGAGGCAGACCTCTCCCGGCCCCCCCTTTTGTTCCCTTCGGCGTTGTACTTCGTCTATCTGCCTGTTCTGCACCCCGCTCTGTCTCTGGTGAATCCTCTCACCCTCCGCATCTCCGGCCTGTACCCCAGTTCTGTATGAATAAATAAATCTTTAAAAAAAAAACAAACATAGCATTTCAACATCTAAGACATTCTTATATTACATTCCGTTTTCATGTAACATTTATGCAATATGTGCTTCACTGATGGCATGCTTGTATCTGAATGGGCCATGTTCCCAGTGCCCAGCACACATGTGCTATAGCAGCCACAAAATCAGGTATGAGGACCTAGTTTCTCCCTATCTGACAACAGAGAGAAAGTGCATCCAGGAGCCAGGAGTGGTAAGAGAGGGTCCCACTCTCCCAAGGCCTAGGTCACACGTACACTCTCCCTCCCTTTAAAAGGGCTTGAGAGGAGAAAAGAGATAGAGCTCCCATTAGTAGGGAGCTTAGTCTCCAGCAGGTGCAGACAGAGGGACTGTCACTTGCATTCACCTGCTGCGAATAGAGCAGGCACAAGCAAATCTGTGTGGTGAGAGGAAAGTCCCACAGCCTGGGACAATGCACTGGACCCAGCCTGGATTTCCTGAGGAAGTGCTGGACTGCGTGAAGATACACAAAGTGGAGTTTCTGGGTGTGTGTGTGTTGGGGCTACCTTTTGGTGCCCTGCACACCTTGCAGTGCCCTGCGGCTCCAGGAGAGAACAGACTAGCACTGTGGGGAAGCCAGGCAGCTCCAAGCCACTCTCCCACTTCTCTCCCAACAACCCAATCATGGGAAACACGCAAAACTTTTCTGAGGGACCCACATGCTTACAGCCAGAGCAAAGAAGCAGAGATTCATTGTCTGCGACACATGCCACAAGGCCCTTCAGGATCCAACTACCCCCATTCCACCCTGGGTTTCTGGACCCCCATAGCAACCCACCCCTCAGAAGAGGGAACTACGGGGACTGGGGCAATGGTGTGTGTGCACGCCCCAGCACGACTGCCTCCCTCTTTGCCCTAGAGTAAGGTGGGCACTGGAGGCCTGTGTGTGTCTGCAAACACACACACACATACACACACACACGGGCATGCATACACAGGGAGGACTATTGTGATATTTCCGGGAAGAAAACTCCTTTAGCTCGTTTAGGTCTTTTCTCTTGGCTTAGATAAGTACAGCCTTCACTCTGTGTGTGTGTGTGTGTGTGTATGTTTGGGCTGGGGGTAGGGTTCTTACAAATACAACCCTGGCTCCTTCTTGTAAGCCCAGACAAGTTTGTGAAAAATGTCAGGCTGAATATCCTAAGGTGACTTGGGAAACCTCCACTTCTGCTTGGACTAATTTCTGCTTCTTCCCACAAAACTGGAAGAGAGATGTCCCCCAAAACATCAATGCCATCGAATCTCTTTTCTCCTCTTCTAGTCAGGAGTAGTCAGAGCTCTAGCTTGCACCTGAGAAGCACAAGCCACTTTTTGGAGGTGACACACACTCTGCCTGAGGGCCCTAGGAATTCAGGCCTGGCCTCTGTCCACCACACAGTGGGCACCAACTTCCAGAGAGCCTCTGGGCTAGACAAAGAGACCTGTTGGGGCAAAAGTTTAGGCCCCCTCACCATGTCACAGGAGACACTGTGCAGTAAAGATAGTTGGAAATGCCTGCCTGGAAGCACAGAGATGCTTCCAGAACGGGGAAGGTGCCTGGCATCTGAAGGGCCCTGTGATCATACCGTGTGCAGGAGTTACAGCCCATGTGCCATGCACAATGTCAAGGTGCGGGTGTGGTGGGGGAGGAGAGAATCCAGAGAGGTAAGGTCTTCCTTACCTTTGAACTTCTTCAGGTAATCTGTGAGTACATCATGTCTTGATTTCGCATCACTGAGTTTTTTCTCCAGGTGCAGAGGTACAGGGGTCGGACTGAGAAAGTGAAATCCTTCACTCCTGGGAAGACATGACTAAGTGGATGATGGGAGGAGGGGAGGGTGAGAGGAGAAGTAAAAAGCTTGATAAGAGCTGGGAAAAAGGTGATGGGGCCCTTGGGGGTGGGGAGGGAGTCAGGGAACAGGGAGCTGGGAATGTGGATGCCAGGACTGGGGTCTAGGATGGGAGTGAGGTGAGGAACTGGGAGATATGCAAATGAAGATGGAAGATGAAGACTGGTAGGAGAGAAAGAAGGCTGGAGGAAAGGGAAATGGAGTAGTGGACCCAGGAGCCCAGAAGATTCAAGGAGGCAAGAGAATCTGTACTGAAGACATAGGAATCTCTAGAAAATGGCTTGTCTCTTTAACAACGAACCTACTTGCTAGTGTGCTCAGCATTGACCTTTCCCACCTGATGCTTAAGCACCTAGCTGCAAAGGAAGAGTGTGTGGGAATTTGTGAGGGAGGAATGTTGAGTGTATTTGAATACATGCTGAACTTTGTAGGATGAAAGAATCAGTAGGCAAAAGGCGTTGGGATGGTCCATCATACCTGCACAGGAGAGCCTTGATGTTCTGGAAGAGACAGAGAAACAAAAACTTCAGTACTCGGTTGATTCACTGGCACCAAGGATGATGCAGGCACAGCAGGGCAGGCGTGGTGACAATGTCTGCAGACCCCTCTTTCTTCCCACCTGCCACAAAAGGGCTCCTCCAAAAAGTGTCTGAACTCCCAGGAGGCAGGAAAATGGCTAGACCTCAAGCAGAACTAAGAGATGAGGAGGGGAAGAAGCATGAGGTTTTGGAGATGAATATTGTTTGGGGGCCTAAGCCAAAGACAAGAGAGGTAGAGGAGCAGAAAGGTTGGAATGGCTTTGCATGAGCTTGGATTTCTGAGAGTTCAAATTGGATTTCTGAACTGGGGAGAGTGGGAGGTGAATTCAGGAGGGACTTATTGGGGGGGCATTGGCTAGACCACACTGTCCAATATGGTAGCTGCCTGTGACAGATGATTAGTGCCATTGCATTCTCACTAGTTAAAATTGAAAAACAGAAGAGGTGCAAAACACTTTTTCCACTAAATAGTCTATATGAATTTGGTAGGACTATGTTTTACTCCAGCCATTGAAAATTTAGAATCTCTGAACTGAGATCTGCTGATGCATAAAATACACACAGATTTCAGAGTCAGTGCTAAAAATTGAGACTACGACATTTTTTTTTAATGTTGAAGAGATAATGGATAACAGGTTGAAATGGTAATATTTAATATGCACTGGGTTAAATAAAATACTGTGTTAAAGTTTTCACTCATTTCTTTTTATATGTTTTTTTAAAAAGATTTATTTATTTATGCATACAGAGCGGAGGTACAGGCCAGAGGTGCAGGGGTGGTCTGAAGATTCACTAGAGAAGAGTGAGGAGCAGAACAGGCAGATCTACTGAAATACACTGATGAGGGAGCAGCGGGCGGGTCAGGAGAGGTTTGCCATGCCATGTGAATCACCTCCAGGGCTGGGGATAGAACTCGCACTGAAGCAGCTATGGCTGGCTTGCAGTGCTGCACTTTAACCCACTGCGCCACCAGAGAGGACCTCTTTTTATGTTTTAATGTGACTTGCAGAAAAAAATTTGAATGACATCTGTGGCTTGCCATATAATTCGAAATTACATATGTAGCGTTCATGTCTAAATCATGTTTGCAGTATCCATTGCAGCCCTGGATATTGTGACGTTTCTGTAGGCAGCGCTGGCGCACGGCTCCGTGAGCCAAGTCAGGCACTCTGCTGGGAAGTCCCTGCTGATTCATCACCAGGGCTGGGCGGGAGAGACTCACCTGGAGCAGCCGTTTGGGTGGCAAGTTCTGCCTGGCCTTCAGGGAATCAATCAACTTCCCGAGCGAGGTCAGCTGAGTCTGGGCAGAACTGACGTAGAAATTCTGCCCGTTTGCTCCCTCCTGAGCCAGCCAGTTTATCCTTGACAGGAGAAAATTCTCCTCTTCCTTTAGGACCTGATACAAATGTGTGAATTCTTTGGTGATCTTTTGCTTCTCAAATTCCACCTGGGCCTGGGGATGGGGAAAAAAGTTAGACAGTGAGAGGATGGTCTCCAATGTCCTTCTAGTTCATCTTATTTCATTTTTTAATTTCTCTAAGTTTGCGGGACAGGGTACTGCGGCCCATTTGGAGGAAAGGGAGGTGAGGGACATGAACTTGTGACAGCACATGTGAGCTCAGATTTAGTTCTAGGTTATTTGTTTTATAATTTTTTACCTTCAAGCACCTGAGTATCTAAAACTGATTACCTACGTACCTAGTACACACCCCATTTCTTAGAAGGCTTTTGGTTTATGATCTGGTTCATATGGATATTTTGCCTTTGACCCACAAATAAAACAGGCGAAGATGATGGTGATGGAAATAAAAAGCAGGAAATGTAGGAATAAGCAGAACTGAACTCTGACCACTGAACTGTATTCCTTCTTTGGGATTAACCACTAACTGGCTTCCACTGCATTCCTGGCAACTTGAAATTGTGTTTCATCCATGATGAAATTCTCATCTCTCTTGGCTTGGTAGTGGCATCGGAGAGATCTGGTTGCTGAAGGGGTCACCCAGCTGGGAGAGACACACATCTATACTGCCTGCCTCCTGGACCAGCCCGCGCTGAGAAGGATGGCTAATTGAAAACTTATCGGTGTAGACCAGCAGTGAGGATATGGAGACATCAGTCATTACAAAGAAACAACAGTCCTTGGAGATGAACCCACCAAGACCTTAAAAGTATGGATAGATTAGACAATAGATAAAATTCCCCAAAGTAATGAATCTCTCCAAAGATCACTGTATGAAGAAGGCTCTCTTGCTCTGACAAAATGCAGCTTTCTTCCCACCTATGCAGGTGTGTCTAAGCAGGTGCCTCTTCCTTTCTCTTTTTCCTAATAAGCTTGTACTTTCAAAATACAGCCTTTGACTGTATTTGTGCCTTAGTAAACTCGCTGTGTGCTACAGAATCAGAAACTGCCAAAATCTTTCAAGGGAACACTGAACCTCAGCATCTGAATTCCATCAGGTGGGTTTCTGACTTCATTTTTTTTTAAAGATTTATTTACTTATTCATATAGAACTGGGGTACAGGCCAGAGATGCGGAGGGTGAGAGGATTCACCAGAGACAGAGTGGGGAGCAGAAAGGCAGATCGACGAAGTACACTGCTGAGGGGAGCAGAGGGTGAGACCAGAGAGGTCTGCTGCACCGCGTGCATCCCCTTCCTGGCCAGAGATTGAGCTCAGTGGCTGTGGATAGTTTCATAGTGCTGTGCTTTAACCCCTTGCACCACTGTAGAGGCTGGTCTTCATTTTTCTAATCAGGAATCAATCTCCAGCTAGCAAGGGACAGTGTCTTAAAACTAGTATTTTGTATTCTAATTGCTGCACAGGTTTTCCTTAAGCTGCCCTTGTCTCCAGCTGCAGGACATGGACACCGCCCCCTAGTCTGGGAACCAGGCTCCCTGGTGGAGGTGCCCAGTGAACGGGAAGGCAAAAGCAGTGCCAGATGGTTCTGTCCCTCCCAGGGGCCCTCTTCGACTCTCTACTCCACTCTGGGCCTCTGCTTCTTTGTTACCCAGTCAGCATAAGAAGAGATCCTAGGTGACACAAGCTATGCAACTTCTGTCAACTGACAAATTCTGGAAGGAAAGGGAACGCTCTGAAAAATTGGAGTTTCCATTGCTGACTTGCGTTATGACCTCCTTTTTTTTTTTATAATCATAATATCAAAAATATTCTAGCGGGCCCTCCCTGGTGGCGCAGCGGGTTAAAGCACTGCACTGAGAAGCTAAAGACACTTCCGCATGAGTTCGATTCCCGCCTGCCCCGGAGGTGACCACATGGCGTGGCAGACCTCTCCTGACCCGCCCGCTGCTCCCCTCAGCAGTGTACCTTGATCATCTGCCTGTTCTGCTCCCCACTCTGTCTCTGGTGAATCCTATCACCCTCCACATCTCTGGCCTGTACCCCAGTTCTCTATGAATAAATAAATAAATAAAAAATATTCTAGCAACATCAGTTTGCAACTGGATTGCCTTAGCTTCAAATTGGCTACCTGTCCGGCCAAAGTACAAGCAGCCCCAGGGCAGGAAATTCCTTTGTCTGAAGACAAAAGTCAAGCCCCAGGAGAGAAAAGACTCCTGGAGCTTTGAGACTCCTGGGAAGCTGCTTTGGTCTTTTGAAACAAAAAGCAAATCCTAGATAAAACTCCCAGGGCATTGGGACCCATGGACAATTTTCTAACATTATTGACACAAGTTTTGCTTAATGCATAACTACGTGACTTCCTCTTAATTTACCCTTTTCTTAAACAATCACTAACTACCCTCTGCTAGTCTTTATTAACCTTTTCCTAAAACACTAGCTACTCTCTCCTAACCTTAAGTTAGCCATTAGCTTTTCTGTAGAATATCACTGATGAATCTGCTAACACAATTTATTCCTTCCGTAGGACTCCTAAATCCCTTGCTAATAGCTCATCCTTTCCCAGACCGCTTATCCTTTGAAGTCATAGTTAAATATCCGTATACATGAAAGTTATCACAAAGATGTATAGTCTAGTATGCCATAAAGTGTCAGGAAAAGGATGCATTATTCCCCTCTTCCTTTAGAACTTTTTATCCTTTATCCTTATTTCTTTTTAACTTACCTGATGCATTATTGTAAGTAACTCTTGCTAAACAGTTTAAATAAAGACCTGCAAAAAGAGGAGCAGGAAGACTTGCACCCAACTCTGACTTCCATGTCTTCCTCACATCCGCTCCCCTTCCTCCCCCTTTTTAGGAATCTCCCTCGCTAACACCGCTCCCACCTTCAGACCCTGCCTATTCTGCCCTCCGATAACCCGTGATCGGGGCCTGACCCCGACACCGAGGACTTGGAGAGTTGTTTCTCCCTGTAAGGTCATAGGACAGAGACACAGCCACCTGGATTTTTCCTCACCATGAATATGTTGATCTTCCGTTCACCTTGTGCCTTTGCTTGTTCTATCGCCTTCTCTTTTTGCTTCAAGACCTCGACCTGCAGTTGCAGTTTCTCCTGGAAGGAGAGATTTGATTTGGCAAGCTGGACCTGGGGCCCCCTCGGTCCTGTCACACCATCCTGCTCTCTGAGGATGCCGGGTGAGGCGACCAGGGCGATTATTAATAGAGCTTTTTTCTGTCCAAGCTGGGAGTTGGGGTGTCATGGAGAAGGGAGAAATCTGGAACTAAAGGTGACCTGTCATAAATCATAACTACTACATTATAACTAATATTTGGAAGGTATTTTGGAACTTCCCCTCCTTTGCCAACAATGCTTAAAATACACATTTTGCCCGTGTGGAAGGTGAGGCACCCAAGGCTGGGGAAGGTGAACTGACTCCTTGAAGGTCATCGTGGGGCCTGTGAGAAAACACAGACTGTTCTCAGAGCTTCTCAGACTGTTTTTCACAGTGAACTTCCAACGCAGAGGGCCCAGCAGATAACATTACATTTGGGATGGAGCCGGTGTGTGCTGAGAGCAGTAAATAATATAACTTATTTAGAGTTTGTATGTGGGAACACATGCTTCTGCAAAGCAGGCTTGAATTGGGTCCTGTGCCCGCTTTCTTCATAAATCATATAAAAACTAATAAGGTTCCTGGTGGTGACTGGCCACCCACTGACAGGCTGGGAGCCATGGCTGTGACCAGAGCCCTGGGGTGGGGGGGTGGGGCTATGTCTGTTGCCACCTGTGTATCTCCTGCTGCCTCAGGAGACTTGTTCCTTCTCCCCACACTTGGGTTTGTGACCTGCTTTCTTGTCTGCTGTCAGTAAGAACTGGCAAGCTTGTAGCGGAGGCCCTGTAGACTCAGGGACCCACCTCTGGCTCAGAACACAGTAGTCTTTCCACTGTCCAGTATGACTCACCTCACCCTCAGAGCCCTGAACCCGCAGTACCTGACTGCAAAGACAGGATGGTGCAGAGGGAGAAAGCGCCAGTTTCCTGGTCTCCCAGGGAAACAGAGAACAGACTCTTACTGCCTACCTGATAGCTCTGGGCAACCTCTTCTATTAAAAACACATTGTGGGATTTGTGCTCCTTGGCATCCCGACACACAGTACAAAGGAACTTCCCATCAAAATCACAGAAGTAATGGAATTTCTCCCCGTGATTCTGACATCGCTCTTCTTCCCTTTCTGGCTGGATCTCAGGGAGATCCATCGCTTGGATTTTCTCCACCAGATTTACCAACAGCCAGTTGGGCCTGAAGTTGTTCTTCCTCACAGATTTGCCACAGAGGGGACATTTGCAAAGTTTGCTTGTTTCTTCTGCAATGCGGGAGATGCATCTGAGGCAGAGATTGTGCCCACAGTCCAGAGTGACGGGGTCCTGCAGGATATCTATGCAGACGGGACAGGTCACTTCCTCCTTCAGTATGCTGGTTAAGAGTTGATTTGCCATGGCAGGCAGAGGCTGTGTCAGTGTGTTGAAATTCTAGAAATCTCCTTTGGACACTGGTTCTGGGAAGGAGGAAATGAAAGTAAAAGATTCAACCAAAAAAAAAAAAAAGATTCAACCAGTTAGAGAAGCAGAGAGGGGGGGAAATGGAGAGAAAGAGGGGGGAATAGTGAACAGAAGAATGGTTAGAATGGAAGAAATATTATCAAAAGAGGAAGCAGATAGGTAATCCTACCTTACACCCGGAGAGCAAATGGGTGTTGTGAATAGACCTAAGCTGCTTATAAAGTAGGGTAAGTTGTCCTGAACCTTGAACTAATTAAGGGTATGTTTATAAGGCTTTTAACTGAGATCAGAAGGTCCGGGGCACCAAAGTCCACTCAGCTAGGGGGTGTGGGGAAACTGGGGATACTTCCTGAAGGCTCCAGCGAGAAGTGTTTTGGGCAGTCGTGTAGGCCCAAATCTTGGGAGAGGAATGAGGGGAAGATTCTCTACCACAGGTACTTCAGTGGCATGCTTTGAAGCATTTTGTGAAAATGTGGATGATATGGGCCTCTTTAGTGGTCTAGGCATTAAGTCTCAGCACTGTCACCACTACTGCCTGAGCCTGAGTTCTATCCCTGGCCAGGGAGCTGACCCACATGGCACAGCAGACCTTGCCTGTCTCCCCTCAGCAGTGTATTTCAGTAGATCGGTCTGTTCTGCTCCTCATTCTGTCTCTGGTGGATCCTGTCATCCCCCAGCATCTCTGACCTATACCTCAGTTCTTCTATGCCAAATGAAAAAATAAAATAAAGGCTTCCTGAAGGAAAGGTGGTCTAAAAAGGGGATTTGCCAGCTATACCAAGAAATAACCAGCATGCTCACCAGTGGCTGCTAGACAGTGGGTGATGCAAGGTACATCCTCTCTAAAAGGGCAGTATCTGGTTTTGTCTGTTTTTCTCCACACTGCAGCATCTTACACTTGCCTGAACACTGTTGACAGTCTGTCCTCATGGATTTCCCCCCTGTATGAATTCAGTACACTAGTGTCTACCTGCTCATTCTTTGTTTGGCCTGTATTTCTTCCTACTTCTCTAACCCTGGACTTGACTTTCCCTTGGCTTTTGTCCTGCCTAGGAAAATATCAACCAACATCACCTAGGGCCTTTCTGTAGCTCAACACATCTACTTTCCCACTTCCCTGCTTGTGTTTACAGAGAAACGTCCTTCTGTAACAGGGCAGGGAGAGGGCCACCCAGAACTCTCAAACCTGCCTGCTATAAATAGGTTCTCCCATCCACTGCATCAAGACAAAACATATAAATGACCTTTACTGGAAAGGAACTTTAATACAATCAATGGCAATACAGAAAAGACAAAGACCATAGTTTCCAAACCAAGCACCAAAGTTACCCATCTTCCCCACCCCCCACCCCCGTGGAATAAGTCCAGCAGGTAGAAACCAAATGGGATTGGCTCAAAACAAGGCCTGAAAGCCTGTCACAAGTCTAAAACACCTCCTGGAGGGGGCCCATAGAAGACAGTCTGAAACAGTCAGAAATGTCTGGGAGGAAAAGAGCAAAATCAAAATCAGGATATACGCTGTCATAGTCACCTCTCCACGGGTCTCTCACCCACATCTGTTTCAACCAGTCCAGGGCCAAGAAGAAGAGTTTCTTCACGTCTCTGTGCTCCAGATGCCTCTCTCAGGTCTCCTTCTGGCCTCCGTCCTGATTCCTTCCTCTTCAGTCTCCTCTCCAGCTTCCGTCCCAGCTCAGCTCCACCCTCTGGGCGGACTAGGGAACCTGGAGCCTCCCCTTTTCCTGGGGACCACCCTGTTACACTTGTCTTCCCATTTCATCTGGATCCCACTTCCACCCTTACCTCTAGTCTGCCACCAACAAGCATGTCATTAATTTTATCTGCACTTAGTCTTAAGGATTGTAGGCAATTATAAGGTTATAGTCAGAGTAATCACACATGCTGATTTGCCTGGGACAGTCCCGGTTTCACCTTTATCCCGGTATAATTAATAACATATCCTTTCATCTCAGTATCCAGTTTGCATAACAAATTATATGGGTATTGTACCATGATATTGTGATTTGTAGAAATATGTCTGTTTGGTCAGGCAGGTGACTGAAATATATTTCTCATCTATGTATCTGTCTTTATCCACAGATCTGGCTCATAGCTCCCTTTGGAAATTCTTAAGTGTGGAGAGTGTTCAAGATGTCTCCTGCTATGTTCATGAAGGTGACTTTGGAAAATACCTGAGGGTACAGGTACCAGGGAAACCAACGTGAATAAAAATTGGAGAGGAGAAGGCCCAGAGGTTGAGTTTGGTTGCAAATGGCCAAAAAGTAACTCCTATGAAATGAAGCCTCATATAGTCCAAGAGGGGGCATTTAGAGAGCTTCCCAGTTGGGGAAGTTGTGAAGATTTGGGGGAGAACAGCACATCTGGAGGCTGCATGGAAGCCCAGTGTCTTCCCCCTATACCACTGCTACTGGTTCATTGCTTTGTACCTTTAACATCCTGTTGGAGAGCCCTGGAACGTGCTGAGATAGGAGAGTTGTTGAGGTCGTAGAATGCTGGTAGAATGGGCTGGAAAGCTGGTCTGTGTGCAGACTCTGATGTCGTTCCTTGGATCAGCAGAACCAAGCATGCGAAAAGAACCATTTGACTATGCAGAACCTTGGCAATGTGTGTGCGCCAGAACAGTGCTGAATGCCCAGAAATAAGAAAATGAAACACTGTGCTGTACTTCTGCTTACCGTGTATCCTAAGTTGTAATCAAAGTGTGCTTTGTGGCTTCTGCTAATAAAGGCGGTGCTGTGCTGAGGAGGGCAGAGCAGATCTAGCATCTGTCGCCTGAGCCGCCCTCCCAAGCTTGTCAAGACTCATGTTCTTGTCCTTCTGCCTCCGTTATCCGTGACAAGCAGCGCCCTCAGGTTGATTTGGTGTCTTGTTAAGGAGTTGGGCAATCTTTGAGTCATCTTTAGGTTGCAACTAACTGCCAAGGAAATTCTAAGGTTGGGAAACAGGGTAGAAAGGAGAAGTGAAAACGTTTAAGTAGCCTGGTAAAAGGCTCACAGACCCAGGGTCTGTGATGTTTTCAATTCAATCTTTCCTATCTTCTTATTCTCCCAAATTAACCTGGCTGTAGGCCCCCACAGACCCAGAGTCTGCAGCAAAGTGGTAAGAAGCTGTTTTCAGTCGTGACCTTCCTTTATCTCCTAGAAAACAGGGTAATAAATCTCATTCCCCTTCCAAACAATAGAAAGAACAACCTAGAGCTCTTCTACTAACCCAGGGATATGATGTGTCCAATAAAGAGCTCACTCAATTTTTTTTAAAGATTTATTTATTTATGTATACAGAACAGGGGTACAGCAGAGACAGAGTGGGGAGCAGAACAGACAGATTGACGAAGTACACTGCTGAGGGGAGCAGCAGGCGGGTCAGGAGAAGTCTGTCGTGCCATGTGGTCACCTCCCAGCCCGGGATCGTGCTGTGTCCTAACCCGTTGCGCCACCAGGGAAGGCTGAGCTCACTCAATTTTTAAAGACAATTAGTACCTATTGCCACAGAATTCCTTAAGAAAAAATTTTAAATTTAAAAACTTGGGAAAATTCAGGAAGACACCTATAAAAAGACTTAAAGGCAATGCCTGTCTCTCATCTTAAATTGTGGAATTTAAGTAATTTGGCTATTCACGCACTAGATGAAAATATTTTAAACCAAAAGAGCAGGGACCATAACTCAGCCAGGGCTTGTCCTCACCCTGTCCTGCACCACCACAATGTGGGTACAGGAGAGACCCAAAAGCATGACCAGTCGTGAGCAGATTTCAAGCCACTCAAAAAAAGACTTTTTTATGAAAAACAATCAAAGGGAGAAATGCGTTAAGCATTTCTAGTTATTTACCTGAGGGGGAGGCCAGGGTCCCCGACACTAGGGTGTTGCCATTTGCTATTTTATTATTATTATTATAGTTTATTTTTACATTGTTTTGTGCATTTTTCCATCTCAGTTGTAATACCCGTGGGCTTCCCATCACCAGTTCACCTGTGTGCCATCACCATAGTCCTGTGCACTCCCCACCCCCCTTTTTGATCCCATTCCCCACTCCGCCCCCATAAAATGTCTTTGGTATATAGTTGTTCATTATTTTTCCCTCACCCCCACCCCTGGCCCTTTAGGAAATTTTTTATAGATAACAGAACTTTGTAATCTGTACTTCCACTTAAGGGTTGTACCAGACCCAGCGCCTGTCAAATTTGTCTGCATGTCACATTATAATTTTATTCTTTACAACTCAAGCATACAGTATAAATACTGTGTATTTATATTTCAGAATTCAGTATCAAGTCTTTGAAAAAGGCCATTTATGGCATTCCCTTCTGTGTAGTATAACAAGATATAATGTTAAAAAAGATGGTAACATTTCACTCTTTGAAAGTGCAGCTTTTTTTTTTTCTTCTCAACTGAAGTTATATATGGAGCTCAACTTAGTTTATTTAGGGTATATAAATGTTGACTCTTGCATTATCCCAAACTATATGTACACAGATGCTGTAAGTATAAAAGATAAAATTGACGTCCCCATCACTGTGGGGGGGAAGTACCCTCAAAATCTTAATAACTGTTCAAACTAAATGTATAATTTTACAGGTGTTTACCCAGTACTCACTGCAAAGTCAGATTGCTGTTATTGCTTTCATATTTCTAAATTGTAGTTTTTAGAGATTTTTGAGCACCATAAAATTAAATATTAAATATTCAGGTCACAGTTCTGAATTCATGTGATGATGATGATTTATATGTAATTTATATGTAACTCTTCACAACGTTTCTAATGTTATCAAAAATATTTTAAGGAGTGATTTTGCTGTATTCACATAAAAAAACTGTTTAAGGGCCCTCCCTGGTGGTGCAAGAGGTTAAAGTCCAGCACTGCAAGCTGGCCACAGCCCGCTCAGTGCCAGTTTGATCCCCAGCCCCTGAGGTGACCCACA